CTATTGTGGTATCTCCTCCTGCTGCTACTGTTTGGCTGTGGACTATAGTGTATAAATGATCAGAAATTAAGTGACATCATGAGTATAGTTCCATTTAGAGAATCATTTATGAATGCCACAGAGTAAAAGACAGAAGTCAGAGGTCATTTCACCAAAATGTGTTTTTTTCAGTAACGATTTAATATAAATATATTAATCAGGGCCATAGCAAAGATTTTTTTATATATATATATTTCTTTTTTGTGGGTAGGGTAAAATAAATTAGAATTCGGTGTTAATTTATCAAAGGCCGCCATGTGGTTAGCGGCAAGAACATTTAAAATTTCCAGTCCCTCTATATTGGCAGAAATCATCTTTGAAATAACAAAGAAATAAAAAAGGGAAATTATTATCACCGTACACCTTTAAAGAAGAATTCTTTTATCGGGTTTTTATGAATGTTATATTCTTACTTTCTTTCATCGTTTTTTTTTTTCTTTCACACACACACATATATATATATATATATATATATATACATATATATATATATATATATATATATATATATATATATATATATATATATATATATATATATATATATATATATATATATATATATATATAAGGAGGTGTTGAAAAAAATGGTGTGTCCAAACAAGAAAACATTAAAAAAAAAAACTTATGTTTGATCATTTTGTGTGATTTTTATGATTTTAATCTAAAAGAGAAAATTTTCCAGACACCTCGTGTATATGTCGCAAAGACAAATGTGTTTTTTTTTTTTTTTTTTTGGGGGGGGAGCAAGACATTTTTAGAATTTAGCCTAAAGTTATCAAACACCGACTAAATGGTTAGCGGCAAGAACAAAAATTACGAGTACTACTAGATTGGCAGAAATCATCTTTAAAATAATGGAGAGAACCTTCTGTCTTATCAAAGAACTTTACATTTTTATTCTTATATTTTAGTTTATTTTATTTTTGTTGGACTCTCCACAATTCCAAATTAATATGAAAACGCACCCACGTGATAAAGGGAAATTTAAAGAAGAATTATTTCATTGGGGTTTTTATGAATGTGATATTCTTCTTTGCTTTCATAGTTTTTTTCCCTTTCTTGTATTTCTTTCTTTATTGTATTTTATTTTAAAAAAAATGTAAAAAATATTACAATTGGTCACATGGTATCCAGTTCTCATGGAGAACAGTTCATTACAACCTTTTCTTCATATAGATTTTATTTTATTTAACCCATACTTAGTGATTGTGTTTTTTGTTTCTGATAGACAATGTACTTTTTTGCTGCAGAGAATAGAATAAAGAAATCTAGTCTTAATATCCATTATACTTGCTTTCACCTGTCGTTGCTTTTAAATATTCCATACATTGTAACTTTGTCATATGTCTTGGGTAACAGTCAAGTCGAAGTAGTTGTGAATGGCACATAGTAAAAGATAGAAGTTAGGGTTCAATTCACCGGACCGTTTTGTTACAATATCCGTCAAATTAATTGGGAAAAAATGACGTCTCTTCGACCAAATATCTTTGTCTTTGTTTCTATTTTTGTGTTCTTGCTCAATTCCTGGTTATTTTTACCCGTATGTATACAACCGCTTTTAAGAGCAATATTTAAAAAATGGCTTTGGACGAGTGATGCCAGTGGATCTTGACGATGGCCATTCTGCTTTGATTGATTGATTAGCAACCCTTCACAGGTTATTTAAAGCCAGCAAATATTTTTTAGATTATAAAACTTTTTTGAGATAATAATAATTTGGTCTTATTAATTAACTCATAACTGGGGTTAGAGAATTTAATAAACAATAAATTTTAATGTAGATATAAAATGGGGGATCAATTCTATATTACAATCACTATATAAACTGACCCCCATTTTATGACCACAGTATTTTCTACACATTTATATTTCTGAGGGAGGTAAATAAATCTAAAAGGCATGCCTGTGTAGCTAATCAGTATTTCATTGATTGGCTGCTTAATCCCGTTTCTACGGCTTAGCTCTATGCAGGTTATTTAAAGCCAGAAAATACGCATTTTGTAAGAATTGTTGGTGATTTTGTTCCACTTTAAAATAAAAGATATATTTGTGCCTGAGATTTGCCTTGACAAACTGAACCCACCCACTGAGCCAGGTTGTGATACAAAGTCGGTTTTTCCACTCAGGCCACTGGTCTAAGATGGTCATAGCTGGTCTAAGCTGGTCATAGCTTGTCTGAGCTGATCATAGCCGGTTATACCACGTCTACGTAACAGATGTCAGGCAAACGGCGGTGGGGTGCAAGGGAGGAGAGAAGGCCTCCTTCACGGAACAGATACTACCAACGCAGCATCTACTCCAAGAAGAAAAATAAAAACCTTCTACTCCCCTGCTAATCCCTTTGGAAGAATCCAGAAGAATAGCCCAAATTATTTTCTAAGCTTAGCTTAGATGTGGTACAAGGCCGAAAGTATGGGTCACCCAGTGAGAATCAAACTCATTATTCAGTCGTAACCGGACTAGCGAGACAAGCTTGCTAACCATTACGCCACGTCGAAGTGCCCAAAGATGTATTTGTGTCTTCTCTTCCATAAAAGAAGGCGTAGCTCCACCTTACTACCAAACTTCTTTCCTCTCCTACTCCACCTCGCCTAGAATTCCAACTGTTGTTCAACAGTCACTGATTTTTATTAAAAAATAGATTAATGCCAACCCTCATGGTCGAATCTTGTCATTTTCTGAATGTAATGTACGTGTTCGTTTTTAATTTAATATTTTCTTTCTTTATTTTTTTCTTAATCCTCTGCAACGGCTTCGTTTTTCTTTGAGGCTTTTGTAAGAAAGTTTTACTCGTTTTTATTAATAGCATTAACGCATTGTTTAATTTTGATCCGGTTCATATTATCAATGATTTTTTTTTGTTTCGTTTTTGACTATTGGTTGAGGAAAGATTAACTCATTTTGTAAGAGTGGGTATTCGAACAGTAAGTTAAAACTTAAGTACTTTAACTACATAGTGATTTTCCAAGCGTAGCTTAAATGTGGCAACTACTTTAACTATATAATGATTTTCCAAGCATAGCTTAGATGTGGCAAGTACTTTAGCTATACATATTTTTACCTGTGGATTTCTTTTCGAATCTCCTGATGAGTTCTCTGATTGAAATTTGTTCTTTGTAATAATTCATCTAGAAGGCAACCCCGGTATTGTTTTTCTGTTTTTTTTTTTTCTGTTTTTTTTTCTTTCTTTTTTTTTGTTTTTAATAGGTGTAGATTGCATCTCCTATCGCCTCATCTATACAACTCCCCCTTTTCTTAAACAGGGGTAGAGACTCATCCCTTGTTCCCTGTTTAGGAAGCCATTCCCGCTTCTTTTCCTTTCCTCTAGATACAGTAGTAGGACTGTCGTGAATCTCTTTTGACCTGTGCGGTTTGTGGCAACGTCTCTTCATTCTGAGGGTACCGGTTTGGCAGTTTTCTGGTTGCTGTTCCCAACTGGTAGTTAGGAGCCCGAAATCTTGCGTAGCGTCTAGAGAGGCTACTCTGATCAACAGTTGCATAACATTGTGGTTATTGTAGTGCCATGTTGAGCATGAATGGGTATTCCTGCAAGCACCACCGGCGGGCAACCCCGATGCGACACTATGTTGCAGTCTTTGGCGGTTACCTTCTGCCCAAATTACATTTGATGACCGACGGCTCCCACTAGCCTAGGCCTTTTCCTTACCAAAATAATAAATTATGACTATAAACAACCAAAGATACACACCTAAACCAGCTGAACAAAAAACACGTAAACCGCTGTCTCTTTCTCCAACATTTTGTAGTATTTGTACTAAGTTCTACAATGTGGAATCGTTTCTCTTCGAAATGTCTCCGGACATCCTAGCTCTCTGTGAAAATAACCTTAACTCGTCAATTTCCTCCTCTGGTTTCCCAATTCCTGGCTACCTTCCTCTAATTAGAAAAGACTCTAAAGTCCACAGGCATGGCCTGGCTCGGAAATCTCCAGACCATTCGTATATGTGTCTCCGTCTGTCTGTCTGTCTGTCTCTCTTTCTCTCTCTCTCTCTCTCCTTAATTCAGTCAGCTATCTCTTCTTTTCCTACCGGTTCCCCTTTCTCTCATGACTGTTGGGTGCTAGACAGTATTTCTGATAATATTGACAATGTCATCTCCCTATACTGCTAATATATTTGTGTTCGGTGACTTCAACGCCCACTATACCAGGTGACTCAAACACTCTGTCACTGACCCCGCTGGCATCTAAAACCCTTAATTTTTCAATCACTCGATCCTTCACCCAAGTGGTTGACTTTCCTACGCGTTTCCCCTATAAGCCTGACGGAAACGCTTCTCTTCTCAATCTTTGATTTACTTTTCGCCCTGACTCTTGTCACGCTACGCAGCTGTGTCCTCTTGGCAACTCTGATCCCGCGGTTGTGTCTGTAAAAATCTCCTTCCGCTCCCCCACCAGCCAATAATGTTCCACCTCAAGAATGAATTTAACATGCTACTAGATTGGCAACTAGGTCCCACCCTTTTACTGTTGAAATAGTTAAACACAACCGCCACTTCTACTCCGGCCGTTTCTTTTCTTGTGCTTTCCGACAGTGGAACTCTCTTTCTCTTACCTGTTTCCTTGATAACCATAATCTTCAAAAATGTAAATGCAATGTCAATCGCCATCTTCTGTTGCATTGATTCCTTTTATCTTCTTTTATCCTTTCCTCATTCCTCTCTATATGCAATCGTTTTCCTCACTTTCACTCCCTGTAAACCCCTACGTGCTAGTGGCACTCCCGCTTGCGGTGAAATGTCTAAAGAATAGATTACGAGAGTTTTGTTTTGGTGATAATAATGATAATTAACCCATAGCTGGGGGGAAGTGGTGGATTCTTACCTTTGCAAAGAGTATTTGTGCGTAAATGATAATAACGAACTCAAGAGGAATTGAAACACGGCTCTCCGATTAACAATTATATGCCATTATCCATTACGCCACCAGCACATCCAAGATTACGGCACCTGGTATTCCCAAGCGATAACCTATCTAAATACTAACCAGGCTCGACATTGCTTAACTTCGATGATCTTACGGGAATCAATGTTTCAACGTGATATGGAATATTCTTTCTGTCTTTGCGGACTGGCGCTTCAGAATCATAAACAAAGAACTGTACCAAATAACAGAAACCACGCAAATTATGTACTACCAGCAGCAGCAACGGTTGAAAGGGATAGCTATCAAGAGAAAATAATGGCAAAAGAACTATAACAGCTAGTGGACTTGAGAAACCTATTGTGTATACACACACACACACACACACACATATATATATATATATATACTGGTGAAAATAAGTTTAAGACCGATGGTTAAAGTTTCATTCATTTCAGAATATGTTTCTAATAAAACAATATAAATTAATTTTATTGTATACGCTTTATGCAGAATTTATTTCTCTTTTGAATGATGTAAAACTTTTATATTTTTCTACAACTTGAAAAATTTAAATGCTGCATTAATTTAAATTTGTTAAATTTGCCCACAAAATAAGTTTAAGACTGCATGGGTGTTATTATATTTAAAGCAAAATGTTATAGTAAAAAAAGAAAAATATTTATCAATATTTAGTGCTTTATTATTAATTACAGCTTCACATCGCCAAGGCATCGTGCTTGATAATTTAGCACGAAAATCATTTGGAATATTCTGCCATATTTGCTTAATATAATCGTATAATTGGGCTAAATTTTTCAGATTTTTTAGCGTGAACTCTTTTAGAAATATAATTCCATAAATTTTCAATCAGATTAAGATCCCGACTCTGTGGAGGCCACTCAATGACATCCATATTATTGTGATCAAAAATTGCATTAATTTTTTGGCTTTGTAAATGGGGCTATTATCTTGTTGATAAATAGCTCCAGGTGGCATTTGGTCAGTCAAATATGGCAGAACATGTTCCTTAACTAGCTGCATATAGCCTGCACTGTTGAGTTTTTCAAACTTTAACTGAACGCAGCCCACACCATTACACCTCCGCCTCCCGCTTGTGACGTCATTTTGACATATTTAGGATGGAATTCCTCAGCTGGGTGGCATCTGACAAATGTTTTTCCATTTGATCCAAAGACGTAAAAGTGTGACTCGTCACTCCAAAGAAATCTACACCAGTCATCAACCGTCCATTGAATGTGGCTTTTCGCGAAATTCAGCCGCTTGAGTCGATTCCTCTCTAAAATAATTGGCTTTTTTTTCTAGCAATGCGCCCGAATAATCCAAATTCTTTTAGACAGTTTCAGACAGTTTGCGGCATAAAACTAATACCAGTTTTACCAGATAATTGGCTGCAAATATCCACGGCCGTCAGCATTCGATTAGCTTCAGAAAGACTGAATTCGTCTATCCAGTTTCACTGTTGTTTTTCCTGGGGCTCCCAATCTTTGTCTATCCTTATATTGTCAAATCCTGGTAAAGCTTCGAAGCATGAACACAAGTCATTTTGCTGCACTTTAATTACTTGCTTATGTACATAAAGGAAACATTTTGTTGATGAAGTAACACTATTTCTTATCTAGTCACTGGGCTAAGACTACAACGCTTCCTCCTAGCGAATTAATTGTATATCACTGCTCAGTTATTACACTATATAAGACATTAATGAACAGCCGTTTGACTAGTCTTTTAGCAAATAATTTGCATAATACCCATGCGGTCTGAAACTTATTTTGCTGGCAAATTTGGATAATTTAAATTAATCCAGCATTAAAATTTTTCAAGTTGTAAAAAATATACAATGTTTATATCATTCAAAAGAGAAATATATTTTGCATAAAGTGTACAATATAAAATTAATTTATATTGTTTTATTAGAAACATATTCTGAAATGAATTAAACTTTAACCATCGGTCTTAAACTTATTTTCGCCAGTGTACATCGAACAAAAGTTTAGGAAAGAAACCTCCCTCAATAGTAAAAAGAACTATAACAGCTAGTGGACTTGAGAAACTTATTGTCCTGAAGAATTGTTTTAGGGGAAAGGTTTTATAAACTTTTATTCAATAGCAGTACTGGCTGCTTGTTCAATGAATAACCAATGTTTCCTTGTGTGGAAACAACTAATATTACCATTATTATTACCATTCAAGCGCTTTTCCCCCAGTAGATTTTCAGGATTATTATTATAGATTTCCCAAATAAAAAAGGTTTTCATGACAGTTAAAACAGGTTGTTGTCATTTATACTTTGTTGCGAGCTGGAACAGGTTTGATCAGGTTTGATATGCTACTGATACATTTGACCCGCAGACAATTTTTAACGGACGTGTGAGTCCACAGGTAAAATAAGACATAGAATTTAAACAAAGAAATTTTAAGAAATATATTGATTGGGCATTTAAAAAAAAACGGAAAATGAGAAATGAAATATAAAGAGTCCAATGTATTCTTCAATGTCTGTAGCTGAGGTACTTACATGTCGGTGGGAGAGGAAAAGAATACGTCCTTTCTCTATGAAAAGTCAACGAGAAAGTGATGAGTTCTTTCAAATCTCGCACCGCCTGTAATTATCGTCAGGTGGCAGTAATTTAAAATCTCGCCGCCTGTGATTGTCACCGGAGAAGAGGTTGGTAATCTAACAATTATCAAGAGGTTTAAATTAGTTTAATCGAAATCAACACCATGAAAATTTTCATACCATTTTTGGCAAATTCAATCATTTAATTTTTTTTTTTGTTTTCAGTCGAATATTTACTCTTCTTAAAAGACGTAATATAATGAAAATGTTCCTGCTTTTCTTTAATGTTAGATTTGATAAAAAAAAAATACACAAATGTTGGCAATTGTTAAGTGAAATGGCAGAATTACGCCCCCACCTTGCGCGCATACAAAATAACAGATTAAAACGGTCGCATTCCATTTATTATTTAAAATGTCAGCAAAGACATCTTGAAATTTCCTTGTTAAACGTTATATTTCTTAATTATTAAAGCATATTCATTAAAGAATATCAGCTCAAAATTGTTTAGAAGTTTAAAATATTAAAAAAAAACATCTAGTAGTTAAATAAATGAAAATAAATCATTAAAAAACGGATATTTTCTAATTGTCTCCAAAATTTTAATTCACCATAAAATGAATCTATATCAAATTCTCCCAGAGTGAAGCCCTTTGTCGGAGTTACCTCCTCCTTAATTGCCTAATTGTTCACTAGGGGACGCTCTCCCTACACTATAAATACTGGGTGACTTCTAGCCTCGTTCACTTTTTCCCTTTGCATTTCAGCGGACACATTCAAAAATGTAATCTCTCGTAGAGATCCGCGTTTTCGCCCACTTGAAACACACATATACGTACGTACGAACATTCACCAAAATACAAACTCTTTACGTTCACACACAAACACAAATGTTGATGTCTTTGTCACTTGTAAATTTGTTGTTTAATACATATATTTGTTGACATATATATATCGGTCTTATTGGTTTTCTTTACCTCTTCGGTTGGACTCAACTTGAGTCCGCCATGTTGTTGTAGTTGAACCTTCTTCTAGCAGGAATAAACAGCATTGTGTTTCTAATTCAACAACGCATAAACCCACACTGTCCTCTACACCTTCCCTTGCACCCCGGTTGTGTTCACCTTCGCGATCACCAAAATATGAACGACTTGAATGCGCTATTTCTAGAGGCAGGATCTACATTCGCGCTCATCCTGATAAACAAGGCAAAAACAGATTTTTTTAACATAAAATTTCCTTCTAACTACACGGAATATCATCCGTACTTACGAAATGTGAATAACTCTCTGTTTTTTTTTGTTTTTTTTTTTCGTAATTTTCATTCTGGGGATTGGAGTTGTTGGAAGGCAAGTTAAACAAATTTTGCTTTACAATTTATAATTTCAAAAGAGTCCCAAAAATTTAATAAAGAAAACTAAACAAATATTGATTTAAAATTTGTAATTTTTTACGGTGAATTAATATTTTCGATAAGTAACTTTACATTATTTGAGGTGAATTATAAAAGATAATGAAAAAAACTAAGAACATTTTGTTTTGTTTTAGTTTGTTTTGTTTTTTCACAACACAAAAGTTTACGGAATATTTTATTAAAACATCAATTTAAAGAATTCCAAACAAAATAATAATCTAGTTGTGTTTTCGGATTCAGGGCAAAATTTTATGCAGCTTAAAATTCAATTTTAAATCGACTTGATTTCTCCGGGAATTTATCTTTAAAAATTGTAAATTTTAAATAAAGTCAAGTGTTTAGTTTAAATTATATTAAACAATTAAATGCCGATTAAGATTGGCATTTAATTTCAGTAATTTCTTTTTTATATAAAATTCTCTTTTCACAAATAAATTAAATCATAAATGAATAAGTATCTAAAAATTTTGCCTTTTTACAAATTCTTATTGTTTTCACAATAAAACGATACCTCTGGATTGAATAAATTACAACTCAAATATTGTCGTCTAACTACAAACGCAGAAGGGCCTATTTAAACATAAATAACTATGTATATTTATTTTGGTATATTAGTTTCATCAGCCAGAAAGAACGCCAGTAGATTAAAAAAAAAATTAAAAAAAAAAACAGAAAATAAAAAAATAAATGTATTAGCAGTGCATATACACTCGTGTATAAGTCGAGTTCATGTACACCAGGGCACATAGACAAAAATGAATATTTTCAAGGAATTAAATTTTCAACACCATTTTATTGGTATCTGTCTATATTTCTGGGATGAGGTATTATGTACACTATTTACATTATTCGGACTATTGTCCTCATCTTTGTCGCCATATTTATTACAACGTTTCGGCCTTTCAGTATCTGTCTATATTTCTGGGATGAGGTGTTATTTATTTTACATTATTCGGACTATTGTCCTCATCTTTGTCGCCATTTTATTACAACGTTTCGGCCCTTCAGTATCTGATATTTCTGGGATTGTCCTCATCTTTGTCCTCATATTTATTACAACGTTTCGGCCTTTCAATATCTGTCTATATTTCTGAGATGAGGTATTATGTACACTTTATTTACATTATTCGGACTATTGTCTATATTTCTCATCTTTTCGGACTATTGTCCTCATATTTTTATTACAAC